GCACACAGGATCCTATGCACCTCTTGTGGGTTTATACCTAAGGATTTTGCTTGTAAATTGCAGATAGGAACATTCTTATTCTTCAGTCTGTGGCTTTTGGTTCTGTGTTTTGATTTATTGAATTAGTGGTCCACTAAACAAGAATGATGAGAATGGGCATTTATGCTCCATTCCCAACATGAGAGGAAACAGAGTTAGGCCTTTACGGGGGGCGGGGTGGTGGTGTTGAGACAAGGTCTTAACAGGGGGTTGAAGACAGGCTGTCTTGGAACTTGCTATGTAGACCAGGCTAGCCTCGAACTCACAGATATCCACCTGTACAGACATGCATGCAATCACAACACCCATGTACATAAAATAAAAGTAAACCTTAAAAAAAGGAAATCATGACCTCCCTTCAGTCTTAATTTCTCATTCATTCCTGGAGGGCGGTTTCACTGGGTTCAGGAATCTGGCTGTAGAGTTCTTTCAATACTTGGAAAATACCATATTTTCCTTTACCAGGTCCCTTCTCTTCCATCATGTTCTCTACAGGTTCCTGTCTTCCTCAGTTCCTGGTTTACTTCTTTATTGCTTATTTTTCTGTTGCGGTGATAAAACACCATGAAGGGTTTATTCGGGCTTATGCTTCCAGAGGGAGGGTCCATGAAGGTGGGGAGATGTAGCAACAAGTAGCCAGCATAGTGGCCAGAGCTGGGAGTTGAGAGGTTACATCTTCAACCCAAACATGAGACAAAAGAGAGCAATCTGGAAGCAGGACAAAGGTATGAGCTCTCCAACTCAGCATCAGTGACGTTCTTCCTCCAGCAAGGCTGCACCTCTCATGGCCTCCCCAAACACCAACAACAACTGGGGTCCAAGTCTTCAAATACATTTCCCATTCTAATGACCCCAGTCAGTGTCTGTGGTGATACTGTGTTCCCCAAAATATTGTGCACCCTAATAAACTTATCTGGGGTCAGAGAACAGAGCAGTCACTAGATACAGAGGCCAGAAAATGGTGGCACTCACGCCTTTAATCATAGCATTCCAGAGGCAGAGATCCATCTGGAGCTCTGAGTTCAAGGCCACATTGGAAGCAGCCAGGCATGGTAACAAGAGCCTTTAACCCAGGAAGTGATGGCAGAAAGCAGAAAGGTATACAAGGCGTGAGGACCAGGAACTAGAAGTTGGTTAAGCTTGTAGGCTTTTGAGCAGTGGTTCAGCTTAGATTCATTCTGGATGAGGACTCAGAGGCTTCCAGTCTGAGGAAACAGGATCAGCTGAGGAACTGGCAAGGTGAAGTGGCTGTGGCTTGTTCTGCTTCTCTGATCTTCCAACATTTGCCCCAATACCAGGCCCTGGGTTTGTTTTTATTAATAAGACGCTTTAAGATTCATGCTACAAGCATCGTCTTCCAAACGCACATCAGTCTATTCTTGTTTCTCCACGGACGCTGCCCAAGCTTCCGCACCCCACTTTCCCCCGGCCCAAGGCTGTCTGAACACAGTCTGAGAATGGAGTCGTATGAGGAGAATTATGAGTGCCTGTGAGAAAGTTCCTAGAAAACAAGACAAGAGTCTTGTGACCTCAGTTTCTTCAAACCACAGAACTGTTCCTGGAATGTGCTTTTGTGCCCCTCCCAGGTGTAGCGGACAGGAGTGCGTTCACTTCAGATTACTCATTACAACCGACTGTTGCTCTTTGTTTACACGCCTCTATGGAGAAACCTGTTTTTGCCACATGCAGCCCGTCCTGGTGATTGTACACTTTACTCAGGCGACTCTTCTTAACCCTCGGAGTATAAATTGTCTGATGCTCCGAATAAAGCTGGCTCTAGCATGAGACTTTAGTCCTCCTCATTTTTAGGCCCCACTCTCCCAGGCTCACACCGCCCACTACAGCGACACCCCCAGGCTCTAGAGATCTCTCCATATCCAGGCACAGAAACCCTCAGCTCTGCTCATGGTTTCACGGTCCAGCCTGTGTGACACTTCAGCGTTGTCCACCTTGTGCCCTTACAGATACTACTGCCATTAGTTACACTGTCTCCAGGCCATTTGTCCCTGTGCCAATAGCATCTGAAAAAAACTGTAGACGTGAGGCTGCTAGGTTGGAGGTTACATGCGGCTGTAGTTTTATTTTTGTGGTTCTTTCGAATGCAGTCCCGATCCTGGCCTGCCTGGCTCTCAGAAGGCCCTCCTGCATGAGATGGAACAGCTGATACACAGCTGACCACCATGGGCCAGGTCTTTAAGTTTTTCCTCCCGTTTTTAATTTTTTTTTTTTTAAGATTTATCATGTACACAGTGCTCTGCCTGCATGTATGCCTGTAGGCCAGAAGAGGGCACCAGATCTCATTACAGATGGTTGTGAGTCACCATGCGGTTCCTGGGAATTGAACTCAGGACCTCTGGATGAGCAGCCAGTGCTCTCAACCACTGAGCCATCTCTCCAGCCTCTGTAGTTTAATTTTTTTTTTTTTTTTTAAAAAATGTTGTGTGGCCGGGTGGTGGTAAAGCACACCTTTAATCCCAGCACTCTGGAGGCAGAGCCAGGTGGATCTCTGTAAGTCAGAGGCCAGCCTGGTCTACAGAGCGAGGTCCAGGATAGGCTCCAAAGCTACACAGAGAAACCTTGTCTCAAAAAACAAACAAACAAACAAAAAAATGTTGTGTGTATGAGCATTGTTCTGGCTTTTATGTCAACTTTACACAAGCTAGGGTCATTTGGGGAAGAAATCTCAGCTGAGTGAGAAAATACCCCCACCAGATTGTCCTGTGGGCAAGACTATGGTGCATTTTCTTGACTGATGACTGACGTAGGTGGTGCCATATCTGGGCTGGTGGTCCTGAGTGCTGTAAGAAAGGGTGAACAACTCTTGGGAGTCAAGGCACTAGGCAGCACCTCTGCGGCTTATACTCCAGTCCCTGTCTCCAGGTCCCAGCTTTGATGTCCTGCAGTGCCTTCCCTAGAGGACGGAGTAGAAGCTATAAGATGAAATAAACCCTTTCCTCCCTGAGTTGTTTGGGCCATGGTGTTTTGTCACAGCAATAGAAACCCTAACTACGAAAAGGTGTTTTGCCTGCATGTATATCTGTACACCACTTGCATTTCTGATTGTAGCAGAAACAAAAAAAAAAAAAAAAGAGGGTGTCAGATCCCCTGGAGCTGGAGTTAAGGATGGTTGTGAGGCACCATGTGGGTGCCAGGACTCAAGCCCAAGTCCTCTGGAAGAGCAGCAACTTCTCTTAACTGCTGAGCCATCTCTCCAGCCCTGTTCCTCCTTATTAAATACTAAATGCACGTGTGTATGTGTGTGTACACAATTCAGTGGCATGTACACATATATGTGGAGGTCAGAGGTCAACCTTGGGTGGTGTTCCTCAGGAGTCATCCACCTTGTTTTTTGAGGGTCTCTCACTGGCCTAGAACTCACCAAGCAGGCTAAGCTTGCCAGTGATCCCCAGGGATCCTGCCATCACCCCCATTTCCCATGCAGGGATCACGAGTGTGCACCATGACACCTGGCTGCTTTAATTGGGTTTAGAGTACAGAACTCACATCTTCATACCTGCAAAGAACATGCTTTACCCGCTGAGCTATATCCCCAGCCAAAAAGTAGTTTTTTAAATAGAGGACCACTTACTCTGAACCTCACATGCATCTTCCTCCTTACAGTATGGAAGCTTGGCTTCTGTCTGTTGATTTTTTAAAATGTCTTCTTGGTCTTTGTGTGTGCATTCATATGTGTGCACGTGTGTGGGCTTTCAGGAGCTGTAAGATGGGCGCACGTAGTGGTGCGGATTAAATTTGTAATTTTTCTAGTACTGACACTTGGAGGTTTTATGTTTTTTTAGAAATCTCTCATCAGTATCCTCTAATCTGTGAACAAAACATAAAGGAGGTGTTTTCTTCATTGTGATTAATTAGCAATCTAGTTAGCCGTGAGATACGGAAAACGGGAACCTCTGGTGACTGTGCCCAAGGGTGCCAAACATCTCGGTGATTCGGGCACGCACCGAGAGGGTCAACAGATCCTATATGAGATCACTCCCTGTCAGTAACACCGGGGCAGCGCCTACAGCTCCTGGGATGGCTCACTGTCTCCAATTCTTTCTCTGTCTTTGCCGGCTCGTCCTTCTGGCTACACTGGTGCACAGATCACTAAGTGTTTCCACCAAAGGAACTCAGAGCCCGCAGCACAGCCCCAGCCCATCCACAGGTGCCACCTGCCAAGCAGAGGAGTGGAGCAGTACTTCCCGGGCCCCAAAGGAGAGAGAGCCTCTGCGCCCTGGTCATGCTCCCAACCCCACATGCCTAGCACTGTCCCAGTGTCCTCCAACCCAGCCGCAGCCCGATGTCTGCAGCAGCCACTTTCAATGCTACCCGGTGTTCCCAACCCACCGCTCACCTCAGTGGCCACTAGCTAAGTTCTCTCTACCAAGTCTTCCCAAACTGCCTGCCTGGCCAGCTCTCCCTCATTAGCGGGAAGGGTCCCCCGACTCAAGGACCCTGGCCTCCACATGTACCTGAGGCAGACAAAATCTCTTTTCTCCAGATCTCAAGTTTCTGCATTTTGAAACTCAAGGGTGGACTCACAGGACACAGGAAGATTTTCACAGTTTTACCCTCGGTGTCAAGGTCACTGGAGCGGGGTGAGGGAAGCATTTGGATCCTGGTTTGAGCCAAGTGTATCTCCCGCTTCAGATATGCTACGTCCTCTCTGCTCCACCAGAGGGCGCCAGAGAACAAGGCGCCTTTGTTCCTAGACTTTCCATGTAATGCTGTTGGGTGATTTTAATTCACCGCGCGACCTTGGATGACAGAATGGGACTGACAGAACAAAACTTTGTTATAATTTTATGTTCTCGGGGTTTGAATTCTCTGGATCCACTCACTGCTGTCCCAGCTGCACAGTGGTGTGTCCTGCCATTCTAATAGGAACTGAGACATCAAATAGAGAAAGATCAAGGACGAGACGGACTCCCTTTGTTCACAGCAGCACAAACAGTAGTTACCTGTTCCGGCGAGATCTGCTGCGCTGCCTTCTCCGTGTCCTCCATCTGGGCACGACTGTCCCTGTGTTTCTTTCTTTTGGCTCTTTTAAATGGTCTCTCAAGATCAGGGACATCCTAAGTCACACGAACAACAACAAAAATTAAATTTTGGGTTAGAGCGGTTTTGTTGTTGTTTTGTTTTGTTTTGTTGTGTTGTGTTTTTGTTTTTTGTTTTATACAGCTAGACATTTTTTACACTGTGATGTACATTCAGCTTGCCGGTGCCTGTGTGTACCCCCCAACAAAAGAAGATGCACAACCAATTCCGGAAGCGGTTAGGAACATTAGCAGAAAGCCCTTTTACGAAGCACGCTGGGACAGCAGCTCCTTGATGCTGCACACTGGCCATCTTCCCGTGCTGGCTACAGCACAAAGTGGGCACACCACACCACGGAACTATTACAGAAGGTGAGGAAGCGGGCGAGACGATCCTGAGCCTCCCAAATGCCGCTGGAAAGGAAATTGCTTTTCTGAGCACAACAGCCAGATCCGCCAGGCAGGGAGGGGCTGCAAACCACCGAAACGCCGCCTGGCTCTGGCTGGCCACATGCTCTGCCTCCAGCCCAGCCCCCTCCTTCCAAGCATGCTCCTTCTGCTTCTTGGCTTTGTGATCCCAGCAGCAAGCAATGCTCTGGTTTCTGTAGCCGAGCAACGGGGCTAAGGGGCACCGGATGGTGGAAGCTGGCAGGTGTTTGTCCGAGACATTGGAAATGGAGGCAGAGCATTCCAAGTGGGGGCGTATAGAGGATACTGACAGCCATCCTAGGCGGCTATCATAGATCCCCGGAAAGATCGTCTTCATGATCTCATCCTTACCCCTCTTTCCTTTCCCCACAACCTCCTATGTACTGTGACCTTTGCCGGCTGTCCTCTCCTATAACAAGTTAAGAGTAGGAACTGGATAGATGGCTGGGAGGTTAAGATCATGTCCGCTCTCGCAGAGGACCCAGCACCCACAGTAGGCAGCTCACAACCACCTGTAACTCCAGCTCCAGAGTTATCTGATGTCTTCCCGCCTCTGACCGCACACACATGAACATACCCACCCACCCCCACACACACATGTATACACATAATTAGAAATAGCTTTTAGGGGCTGGAGAGATGGCTTAGTAATTAAGAGCTGATGGCTCTTTCAGAGGACCCGGGTTCAATTCCCAGCATCCAGATGGCAGCTCACAACTGTAACTCCAGGATCTAACACCCTCACACAGACTTACATGCAGGCAAAACATCAATGCACATAAAATAAAGTAAAAAAAAAATAGTTTTTAAAATTGAGGCATGTAATTCATATACTCAAAACTCATCCTTTTTAAAGCCCATGATTCAATGGGCTTCAGTGGGACTTGGCAGAGATGTGCAGTGGTCACCATAATCAAGTTCTGAACATTTTCATTGCCCCCCAAAAAGAACAATGTTTATCAGCAGTCACCTCATCGCTTTCCCGCAACACTTGCAGCCTCATCTACTCTCAGGCTCTAGAGTTTTTCAGGCTTTCCTGGTCCCCAATAGTCACACGGTAAAACTCCCACCTCAGTACCTCGGAATAGGACTGCATTTGGAGGCAGGGCCTTGAAGGAGGTGACTGAACTAATTGAGTTCACAGAGCGGGCCCTGATCTAACTCCGTGTCCTTGTGAGAAGAAACGGGGCCGCACAGACATGCGCACATGTGAGGATGATCAGGTGCGGATGCGTGGGGCGTGGGCACACGTGAGGATGATCAGGTGCGGATGCGTGGGGCGTGGGCCTATGGCAAAGGCAGTGGCTAAGGAGCAGCGGGCTGCATGGGGGCAGCGGGCTGCATGGGGGCAGCGGGCTGCATGGGGGCAGCGGGCTGTATGGGGGCAGCTGAGATGAGAGGCCTGCATCCCCCGTGCCCCTCTGCCGTGTGCTCTGACTGGGCACGGGTTCAGTTGACCGTGTACTAAACTTCACTATGAAGCTGTGAGCCCACATGGATCTTTGCTATCTTATCTCCCCGGGGTATTTTGACCTTAGCAATGAAACCCTAAGACATCACCTGTCTCCAAAATCACTGGGAGACTGAGATAAAGTCAGAACTCTTCTATAACTCCAAAATGCACACGGAAGCCAGGCGCCTGCGAGATGAGCAGCAAAGACTGAGGTACTGCGTCGGAGAGGGGCAATCAACGTCAGCCTGACAGAGCCGGAGTTCCCTGAAAGGAGGGGACTTCAACTGAGAACATGCCTCCCTAAGATCTGGCTATAAAGCATTTGCCTCATTAAGGATTGATGCAGGAAGGTCTAGCCCATTGGGGTGGTGCCATCCCTGGGCTGGTGGTCCTGGGTTCTGTCAGAAAATAGACCTCCAGTTCCTGCCCTGTTTGAGTTCCTGTCCTGACTTCCTTCAATGATGAACAGCAACATGGGAAGTGCAAGCCGAATAAATCTTTCCCTCTCCAAGTTGCTTTTTGGCCATGGTGTTCTATCGCAGCAACAGAACCCCTGAGACAGGTGGTAACAATAGCAGAAACATTCAACTAAAGTTGTTTTTCTTTGGGTTTATTTATTGGGGCTGGAGAGATGGCTTGGGCGTTAGAGGTTAGGCTCACAACCAAGAACACTAGCTTTATTTTATGCGTCTGGGTGTTTTGTCTGCATGTATGTCTGTGCACCGTGCGCCGTAGACCATTTATGAGATTCACACACAACAGACCCTGGGTCCAAAATCATAGCCGTACCAACTGGTCTCCTAACTAGGCAGTGACAGGTTCACAGTCAAACTCAAGATCAACTTTTCTGGTTCTCTCTGGAGTGTGATTTCTTTAACGTTCCCTAACTTTTTTATTTGAACTTCTTTGCTTCAGTGACCGCCGCATCTTTGTCATTTGTTTCTCTGGTTGGTTGGTTGTGACAGGGTTTCACTATGTGGCAAAGGCTTGAACTTGTAGCAAATCTCCTGAGCTGAGTGCCAGGATTCTGAGTGTGTGCCACTGTACCCAGCTCTCACTGAATCTTGAAGTCTAATGTCTTAGTGGGACTTGGGAAAAGTGGGATTCAGTGTCCTGGCCTCACACAGGATTTAACTTAAGAGTCGGAAGTAGCTATATCCTAATTCCTTCCCCCACACTCTTTACCCTTAATTCCTTCCAAGACTTCCATGGCAGGCTGTGGTGGAGTCCCTGGCTCTGCATGCATGAGACCCTGTGCTGGATATCCATTTCTCCTCTGATAAAAAGAGATGGAAGAGACAAGGAGAGAGGAGAGGGAGGGCGAGAGAAGGTGTAATACAGCTATATTAACAAACTGGAGCTCGGTTGGTTTTCCTTTCACTGAGTTATTAGGATTTGCAAAATACTCCTCTTTTGATTGTTGGCCAGTGAGGAAGGTAAGCAGCTTGCGAACCTGTGGGCACGGACTGGAGGAAGACCTCCGTGTCTGCCTTATCTTGGTACTCCTGGAACCGTGACACCAGCCAGCCCCGCCCCCTCCACTTTTGGTGCTGGGAAGGAGAGGGGGGTCTGAGCCATCCATCCCTGGTCAGGCACGTGAACCTGAACAGGTCATTCCAAACCATGAAACCACTGGGGCCATGTGATCAAATAAGTATGGCCAGCAAAATATTTTATGTAATAGAAGAGAAAATAATGTACTTGTTCTATATAATATGGAAAAGATTGCTTTTACACAGTGAGTGTAAATATTGTCTCGTCAAGCTTTTGCTTCTGTGCACGCACGCGCGCACACGCACACACACACACACACACACACACACAGAGGATCACAAATGAACAAACGTTTTGTACTGGGGGCTAGATGGTCACAGACAGGGTCAGAGTGGCATCCTCTTGGGGGAAGGAGGAAAACCAGGAACATGGAGTGGAAGGGCTGAAGAGCAGGTGGTGGGGCCCAGGAGCCCCAGGGAACTTCATAGCACATTAGTGGAGCCTGGTGTTAATTAGCTTTGGAAACAAAGCAAGCGCCAGAGAGCAGAAAGAGCCTAGGAGGCTGAGCAGAGGCTGTGTTGGGTGGCACCGTGATGGTGAGGTGATGGTGAGATGGCCTGACCAAGGAAGGGGCAGGCACCAGATGCCTGGCCCCCTTTTTCTCCTGAAGCTGAATTCAGGGTCTCTGATGAGCCTGAGCAGGAGGGGAAGTGTGCCAGACCTGCAGAGGCCAACACGCTATCGACGTCATCTGTAGTGTGCTGTGCTGCGATGCAGCATCCCAGGAGAGCCCTGCTGCTGTGTTGCCATAGCAACATCTTCCCTGCCATGGCCATGTCACTATTATCTCATCACGCTGCTTCCTTTGGCTGTGAAAACTGGCTGCCAGGCAGGGCCCCTGCAAACTTCAGTTATCACCATCCCTTCCACAGGGCGTGTGGGAATGGATGCCTCTCAAGCCCAGAGACGATCCTGGCAGGGCTACAAGGGTCTGGTGACTTGTAAGTCTTCTGTTTCCTTGTGTCAAAGAGACTGGTCCAGATACCCAGGGGATGGCAGGGCAGACACAATCCTGCCTCCCCAGTGACATGGAAACTTGGATCAGGGCCCAGCAGTAGATTCAAACCAGATCCCCTCAACTCAGCGATGGTGAAATGAGACAAAGAAGGGGGACCCCCATGACTCAAGGGCTTCAAGGAGAACAAAGGCCACCCAGCACCCCGGAGACATCTAGGGACGCTGGCGCAGCAAAATGGACTGGTTTTTGGAGCAGGTTCTGGCTGTCATCCATTCCCTGCTTCGTCTCCACGACGGATTTGCATGCTGATGCTTCCAGTCGCCGAGGAAAGAAAACCCAGATTCTTAAAGCAAAAGCAACAAATGAAAATGTTTAAGAAAAACAAGGGCCGCAGCTGCGCTGGGCCAGACCCATGGGTTCTGTGTCCGTTACACTTTCCTTCCACAGAACACTGAATCCTTCTGTTGCAGGGTCTTGGACTGTGACAGCTTGTTTCCGGGCTCAGATGGGCTTAGCACAAGGAAGTAGGGCGCTGGAAATGCAACGTCTCCCACCCCCAAGTCACACTGACCCAGAGTGGTCATCTCATCATATGCATTGAATGATACACGTACATGCAGGGAAAATACCGGTACACATAAAAGT